CCCCCATGCCCGCCGTCGCCCCGTGGCATGCTTACTCTGCCTCTGGCCGGTGCCCTCGGGACTGACTGACAGCGCTGGATTTAAGGCATGGTCAAGCAGCACCCTCCCAAAACTTGCTTGCGAACTTGCCCTCCATCTCCAGGCGAGGTGGGAGGGGAAGAGCCCACAATCGGCTGGAACAAACCCCACTGCGAGCCGGCCAGAGTCACTGTTTCCCCGAGGGAGCGGGAATCTTGTTGCTCCTCAAGCCATCGCCATTGTCTCCATTTATTTTTCAGACCCGGAGACCATTAGGGATTCAGCCATCCTATGTAGATAGAATATTATAGCCTTAACTCTGCCAATAGATAGATTAGGGTCTCCTGGGGTCTCCCCTTGACATGACCGAGGGGTTTTATTCTCATTTCCCTGGCGTGGGTACTATTTTGTCTTGCAGGGAGTATGCCCAAAGCCTCCAAAATTGCACGAGATGCGATGCCAAGAGCCTGAGTGCTGCCGAGGTGGCCCTCGGCTCCGGGGCCGTGTGTGCAGCTGGTGTCCAGCGGGAGCAGGACTGCCAGAAGCGCCGATACCAACACCGGTACCTGGCTGTGCCTCCCCACTTTCAGGGGAGTTCTGACCACAACCAGCCCGGCGGTGTGGGGGCCCGCAGGTCGCTGTGGGGTTCGGACTGCAGGTCCCCAGCCTGCCGCCGGCGACGGTTGCTGTCAGGGAACAGCCCTTGTGCCATTTCCGCCCCTGCAGTGAGGTTCGGCGTCTCTCCTGCCACACGCTCCCCCCACTTCTCATCTCACCTTAGCGAACACGAGCAGCTCTGGCCAGGACTGAGCATCTGCTGTTGGCAATTGCCTCATTGTAGCTTTGCCTTTTTCTGTCCTAGTATTTCCTCACAACGATGATGTTTACATGTGATTGCTATAGAGCTTACGTAGAATGTATATAGCGACACATTTAGGGTGGGTAGTACTGTCCTGTGCTGTGCTGATGTTTTTCAGAAAACGATCAATCCAAAAAACCCCAAAAAACAAAACAAAACAAAACAAAAAAAAGACAAAAAAAAAAAGCAAAGTAAGTGGAATTCTTCCATCTCCCACTCAGCTGGGGGCACTGAGCCCCTGCGGCCGGGCCCCGCTGGGGATGCATCAAGCGTGGTGGAAGGGTTAGAACAGAGCTGGGGGGGCTCCGGAGTCGGGGGAGCCTGCTCCTGGGGGACCACTCAGTCCTTTCTCAAGCACTGGTTTCACTGTACCCAAATACAAAACTTCCCGGTGTTTTCCTGTGGCTGGACACCCTAGGCCGGCCTGCAGGCCTGCCCCGTACCCCGATTCTGGGGATCTCCTGCAGGCCTGCCCCGTACCCGGATTCTGGGGATCGAGGCCAGTACTCGGTATAGGGAGGGCTCGTCCCGCACAGAGCCAATCAGTACTGCACCCGTAGGGTCGGGAGAGATGCAATAAGTGGTCTTCGTGGTGCCTGAAGCCTATAAGTGGGGTTGTGGGTTTTTGGTTTTTAATTTGGGGTTTTTTCTTTTTTTTTTTTTCCCCTCTTTTCAATTGGAATGGTTTGTTTCCCCTCCTCCCCCGACAAATTTCTCCAAGACTCAGGCACTGTGCGCAGGGGTGAGCAAGGCACAGGGGCATGTCTGTGGTTGGGGCAGCCCTCTGCCCCTGCCCGCGCCTGCCAGCCCAGCGCTGCAGCTGGGGAGAGCAGGGGGCGCGTGCTGCCTGCCCATGGGGTACATGGTCCTGCCCATGGGGTACATGCTGCCTGCCCATGGGGTGCATGGTCCTGCCCCAGGGGTATGTGCTCCTGCCCAGGGGCTTCCCCCAACATTCAGGACTAGGTGAGAGTAGAGGGTGTTCAGCTCAGGAAGCACAGCTGTGAGTCGGCTGGGGTTAGAATCCCTCACGCAGGTTTTGTGGAGAAAAGTAAGTTTCCACTTGATTTTTCATTTTCTACTTGACTATCAAGGTGTCTTTGGCTCACAGTGCTCAAATCTGTGAAGGGGCAGGAGGGAGGGGTTGGGCAGAAGGTGAGAGCTCCCAGGGACTGTATCCAGCGCCCACAGGGCAGGAGCAAAGCAATGCCTGGGCACTGCATGGAGGGAGGCAGCCCGTGCCTCCGGGGAAGCCGGAGGGACCCAGCGCTTTGCAGGAGCCTCATCCCTGGGGCTGCTGGGGAGTGGGTATTGCCCCCCACTCCCATTATGTCCTACCATGGCATCGTGGTGGGTGCCCAAGCGTGGGTTCAGCTCGGAGCTGGGCACCCCGAAAAGGGAACCTTTGCACCCTGTTCCCCATGGGATCTCTGGGAAGCTGCCCCCTGCCTCCTGCGAGGGCTGGGGTGGTGGGGTGGGTGGGAGTGCTGCTTCAAGGAGAAACCAGGAGCCAAAGGGTGTATTAAGGTAGGCAATAAGGAGGAGATTTATTTTTTTAAAGATATATAACTATAGAATGTCCCCCAGTAGTTTCCTGCAGGTACTGTGGGGAACTGATGAATGTGAAGAGTTCAATGATAAAATGCCCCTTTGCTTTTTTTTGCACAGATTTGCCCCAGAAAAGCTCATTGTTCAGGGTGGGGTACAGGGTTTCTGGCTGGAATCCAGCGGGCCCCTGCGGCCCCATGGAAAGGAGCAAATGTTTCTGAGTGTCTGGGCTGAATGCAGAGGACAATCCCAGGTTTTAGATTCGATGCTGCCCCAAAGGAGAGGTTTATCCCAATTCCCACTCAACGCAGCTGGCTGGGCTGCACATCTTGAACGAAGCAGCAGCTCAGTCTGCTCACCGCAGTCTTGAGTGTCTGATTTCAGCATTGGTCCATGCAGAGGTGTGTTGCGATTGCAGACCAACACTCCTCTTTTTTTTTTTTTTCTGTTTTGCATTTGGGTTTTTTTTCTTTCAGTTTGGAGGTATGCTGAAAACCGAGATATGCCGGTACTTGCAGCTGAGCCCTGACACCATTTCTGTTCTGAGCATCGTAGTCTGTCCCTGACCATCTCAAGCAGTATGGAGCCAAACGCAGCCTTCGGGCTTCATTCCTCTTCCCTTGCCCACCCTGGGGTCAGGGGTGGTGGTGGCAGCCGGGCCGCAGCACCCACACTGCGGTACATACAGAGTTGGGGAGGGTGTGTGTATGCATGTGAGAAAGAGAGAGAAAGATGAAATTGATGCATTTCTTGAGAAAGGTGTAAGAATTTCACCTAAAAAGGGGCACATCTGCTTTGTTATTTATATATAAAAAAAAAAAGCTAAATTCTGTCTTTTTCTTCTTTTTTTTTTAAGTAAAAGGACACTGCTAATAATTATTAGGGGCCAATTCTGCCTCCCTCCCTCGTGCTGAGTAAGTACTACTTAACTCTGCAATTTTCTACTTGCAGAGTTAAGTAAAAGTAGCAGAATTGATCCCTCTGTGATTAAGAATCAAGTTTTTGAGTATTTTTTTTTTAATTGGTAGCGGTTTTTTATATTTCGCTTAATTTTTTTCCCCCATTCTGTTCCATTGTGTCCTTATTTATGTAATATACTTTAACCTTAAAAAATGGCATGGATTCTTATGCCTTTCCTTTATTATTATTGTTATTATTTTTAAAAAAGAGATTTATTTCTAGTGTGATTTAACTGTCTACCTTCTAAAACGAGAGAACGTTTTCTTGTATTTTTACATTGTCAGATTCTATAGTTTCATAGATAATTTAACCAAATCGCTCAATGTATTATCTATATCTATCCGGTGGGTATAAAAGTTCTATTTTAAATTGTGTAAATACTTCAGAACTGGCTTCTTTTTCCAGACTCCCCTGCCATGGAGTTACTTGTTTACATCAAAAAGACTGTAGAATCTCTACGCTCATGTACTGTAAATAGTGAAGTGATCTGCCTATAAATAAATGATAACATATATACTATAAAGTGGAAAACAAAAAAAGGAACAAGTCTGTGCCACTAATATTTAGTTTATTAGTGCAAACCTGCTCTGGGAGGAGGTATTTTGCTTTGTAGAAGGTGCTCGCCTGCATCTGCCGGGCTGGCAGCGGGACGGTGGGAGCACGGCTGGGGCTGGGGGGATGGCGGAGAGCCCTGCTCACTTGCATCAATGCTGCACCACTGCCAGGGATGCAGGTCCCACTGGGGAATATCCTGTATATTGCTATTTTAAGTGTGGCTTCTTCCAGTTCAACTCGTAGGAAAAACCTGGGCTCTGTACTTTGGACTTTGGGAGCGGTGCCACTGCCGTAAGACCTATTGCAGAAGAAACCCCCCTGGACCAGGGGAGTTAAAAATGAAGTGGGGCACACACCTCAAATTTGCTTGAGTGGGAGTAAGACAGCAAGGGGCCGGATTGCAAGAAAATGTGTGGAAAAGACTCCAGATGATGATGCAGCAACTGTACGGCTCAGGACGGCCCCAGATAGTGCCCCGGTAATGGGAAAGCAATGACTGGGATCCAGCCTGCTCTCCCAAAGACATGCCTACGGTGGCCAAACCACTGTCTCCCAGCACAGCATGTCCTGGTGTTCTGGTCGTTGTGGGAGCCCAGGCTGTGGAAGGCTTGGGATGGAACACCTGGGCAGTTGGTAGCAGCGCAGACTCAGCTCCCCGCAGCACCTGGTCCATGGGAGCCCAGTGCCAGCCATCGCCCCTGCAAGGGCTCGTCACGTCGGAGATGTTGCACTCAGTTTACCCGGAGCATAGCGTGGTGATGCTGCCGGGCAGGAGGACCTCAGCAGCCTGAAAGGAGGTGGTCTGCAAGGTGCTGAGCTGGGAAGCATTTCCCTGCTGCTTTCCAAAAAACAAAAAATGAGCTTCAGGGCCACCAAATAGGAATATTTTTATAAACCACATCAGGGCACAGTGATGCTGTCAATGCCAGGACAGATTAAGACATGAAATTCCAAGAGGCAGCTGGGGCAGTGGGTGTCAGGGTGCTTGGGGTGGGTGCAAGTGGGAGCACAGGAGCAGGGTCCCTGGCTGGCAGAGTTCTGGGATGGAGTGGGGGCACACAAAAGAAGAGTCTGCGGGAGGGACGACCTGCAACTGAGGCTGCCCAACCTGCGCTGCCCAGCACTGCATTCCCAGGCGCCTTCCTGGAAAAAAGGACCCATACTGTTCATGGAGTATTATCCTGCAAGCAGACCTAGAGGCTGAAGGGAGCTGTTGGTGAATCACAACATCAGTTCAGCAGCTCCATTAGTCCCAGCAACTACTTCCAGCCATTTGGAAAAAACCCCAATGTAACAGTTTTCATTTTGGTATAACTCTGTGATAAAACGGTTTCTTTCACACAGTGTGGTGCTGCTTGTGTTGTAGCTTATACAGCTGCTCTTGGGCTGCTGGAGGGAGGCGAGGCGGCTTTATCTCCCACAGTAGGCCTTGTGGGAGGGGAAAATAAGTCAATAACTGGCTTTTGTGAACAGGGGCAGCTTTTGTTGCTGACCTTGGCTGGCTGGCACCTGGCAGGCAGCGTGGGCAGCTGGCAGCATGGGCAGTGCAGGCAATGCAGGCCATAGGCAGCGAGGGCAGCCTGGCAGTGCCCACATTGTCCCAGCTAAGCTGGGCTGGCTGAAACCACAGCTGTCCCAGGCTCCATTGGCTTGGTGGGATCCCCCTGCTCCATGGATACAGGCACACAGAAAGGCCTGTGGGTGGGCAGGAGAGGCAGGGACACAGCAAGGCAACGCCTGGAAATGGCATGCCAGGCTCGTGCTCCCAGCCAGTGCGAAAGTCTGGTTCCACTGCCTGGCAAGCTGTCCTGGGCTGACCTTTGGAGTTTTGGCTCCCACCCATGGCCTGGGCTGTGGCATCCAACACCAAATCCTGCCCTGGGTTCTGTTACGCACAGGAGCTCCCCTGCTCCCTGACCTGGACCTCAGTTTCTGGGCCAGGCAAGCTCTGTCCACAATGCTCTGGAGGCCAGATTTAGAGTAAAGTATGCATTTGCCCACTCTCAGCAGTTACCAGTCCCAACTTGTCCAGGTGTCTTTGCAGGGAGAAGCAGGGACAGGTTTGGTGTCTTTGCACCCTGCCAGCTCAGGGACTGCTCTGCCCACTGGCCCTGCTACACTGGCCACC